TCAAATTTGAGAAATTTTGTGGGAAACAATAAAAAATGTAATCCGACCGATCTCAAGTAGTCTTCATGCTGAATTCAAATTCATTTTCAAAATTTTTATTGCATCAATGCAACGATGAGACTGATTGAAGTAAAATTAGTAGAAAATCCTATGTCGCGCGTGTGTTAGACAAAGATAGAAAATCACGGTATCCAATCCCCTTAACAAATAAAATTAGTACACGAGTAGCGAGTAGATGCTTATAACTACATGTTACTACAACTAGATACAATTTGTAAAATTTAAAAAATAGTTAAATAATATTATTTTGATTGTTGCCTATTATTGGTGTAATTAAAACCTGTCCAAAAAAATAGCGAAAGGTAACGAATTATATTACCCATAAAGCATAATATTTCTAAGTAATAAATACATAAATACATCGATATTAATAATAGCAGTAAATCAATAAGTATAATACAAAAAAAAAGACCTAGCATAAAAATAAATACATGACTATGAGGCAACCTCTATTAGATATCTATAAACCTTGATGAAATATAGTGTTGTGTGGTTTTATATGGTGTATTTATAAATAGAATAAGTGATAAACACACACAATTATATTTTTATTATCCGTAGAGCGGTAATGACTGTAAAGACCGTTTACTCGTTCATTATCTGTGATTGACGTTACTAAAACGTTTACGTTTAGTGAGAATAAAAAGTTTTAACTATAAAATCATTTAAATATTGTGCAAATTTTGTATTTGTTTAATTATCTTTTTAAAATTGTGTTAAACATTTTCATTTATACTTTCATTATGAGCTCATCAGTATGCGTTTGTGGAAGAATTAAGGGTAATATGAATCACACTAATAATTGGTCGAGACATTTAGACTATTGCAAAAAAAAAAAAGTAAATGAAACAGAGTCTATTGTTAAATACTTTAAGACCAACTCTGCATCGATTGAATCAAATAATAAAGCTAAATTAATATCAACAACAAGTAAATATTGAAATATTGTTTAAAATATATCTACTATATTTTAATTAATTTACCCACAGCCCAAATATGTGGTATGTGTCGATTTCTTAAAAATATTTTCTTAAGTAGGCAAGCTTAAAATATTTTAATGATTAAATATTATCAATAGGTATTTAACAGTTACAGATATTGAAACATTGGGAAATAGTGAAAACCATACAAAAATACCTTCTGAATATGAAATAAGTAAATATTTTTTTAACATACCTATTATATATCTTTAATATTTAAATTAATAGTCATAATTATTATTTTATTATTTTTAAATTAGCACTAGGTATCAGTTCCTAGTGCTAATTATATATCTTTAATATTAAAATTAATTGTCATAATTATTATTTTATTATTTTCAAATTAGCCCTTGGAACTGATACATGTGAAATGAGTAAATATTTTTTTAACATACCTWTTATATATCTTTAATATTTAAATTAATTATATATGACGTGATATTACGGATCATAATCGCCACAGCTATAGTAATTCAAATTTCTAATCATCATATAAATCATAATACATTATCCGAAAATTCTAATATTATAGCATTTAGATTTACTAATTAAAACTGTAGACCATTTCCTGTTTTAATTCTTCTAACGTAGACACTATTATTGATATTTTTAACTGTAAATGCAAGAATTTATTAAATATTCATCTATCTCTATTGATAAAATTAAACAAAAAAAAAAATGTTAAAGCTAAAATTATGGATTACACATGGCATTATAACTTCTATTAGAAATAGAGAAAACTTTTTTCAAAGCTGAGGCATAAGCCATTTGATTTAAAGTTTAATAATTTCTACAAATTATACAGAAATATGTTAAACTATTTGATAAGGAAATCAAAACAAATGTACTATCAAAATAAACTAATACATTGTAAATCTGACAGTAAACAGGTTTGGAAAGTTATAAATGAGATCATAGGTAAACCAAGCAAACAAATGAATAATAATAATAAAATTGCAAATAGAGATGACTTAGTTGTTGAATCTAAAACTGAAATTTGTAATGTACTTAATGACTTTTTTGTAAACACAGGAAATAATTTAGAAATAGAACATATAAATTCTGATATAGTTAACTTAAATGAAAAAAATCAGAGCAATAACAGTATTTTTCTTAGGCCAATTAGTAGTGAAAAAATAAGTGAATATATTGATAAGATAAAAAATGATAACTCTTATTATGAATATGGTTTAACAAACTACATACTTCAAAAAATTTCTAAATCTATTTCTATGCCATTATCGTTAATTTTTAATGAGTYTTTTTTAATAGGTGACTTTCCTTCAGCCTTTAAAAATGTATTGTTATTCCATTATTTAAATCTGGCGATAAATTGTCATGTGGAAATGATAGACCTATCTCAATATTATTAACTATACCAAAAATATTCAAGAAATGTATTAAAAAGCGCTTATTAAATTATTTCATTAAGAAACTCATTTTTTTCAACTTCACAGTTTTTTAGCTGGTTAGTCAACAACTGGTGCACTTTTGATCATGAATTATTACTAAAAAAAGCTAGAATATTCAGGTATTCGTGGAGTTGCAAATAATCTATTAAAATCTTAAGTGAAAGAACTCAAATAGTTCATACAAATTATTGTTTTAGTAGTGCTAGAAACATAATTTGTGGAGTATGTGATAAAATTAATAATTTGTAAATAAGTTTTGCTGATGGTACGGCTATACTTACTAATATCTGAACCAACAGTCGATAATTTGTTTCACAAAACAAATAATATTTTAAATAATGTGTATGTTTGGTTTTGTAAGAATAAGTTAAAGTTAAAGTTACTAAAATCCAAACTTATTTGTTTTAATTCRCCTTTTAATGATGCTTTACATGGGCATAATTTGATCGTACATTCTCTAAAATGTAATCTTAATTTAAATAGTTGTGACCCAAAATGTGTAAAACTTGAAAATGTTAATGAGCTAAAATATCTTGGCTTAATAATTGATTATAGTCTTAGATGGCATAGACATGTAGGTTACTTTATATTGATGGTATTTTAAGAAAATTTTTCTATATATTTAATGAAGCCAGGTATATATTAGATATTAATTATAAAAGAGTTATCTATTTAGCTTTAGTGCAATTTGTCTTTTCATATGGTATCCATTTGGGGAGGAGCTTGTAATAGCATTATAAGTAAACTAAATGTTACTATAAATGGTGTAATTAAATATTTACTAATTCTTCCTATACAAACAAATACTTTTTTAATTTATGAAAAACTTAATGTAAATAATTTTAAGATAGTTTATTACCAAGCTGTATTAGTTGATTTAATTTAAACATAAGCATTTAATATCTGTATCAKATCATGGGCATAATACTAGATATACGCAAAATGTTAATATTCGTTTATTGAAGTGTCAAAAGGTTTTCAGACAAAAAAATTGTCTTGTATACGGGTCTTAATTTATGTCGTTTGTTAAATATTAATATAAATCAGTTTAATAATTTAAAGTCTTTCAAAACTAATCTTAAGCATATGTATTGATTCGTCAAAGATATTATTATGATTAATTAGATTTTTATATAAAATTGTTGTATTATATAATATGAATGTTTTAACTTAWAAATAYTTTATGTATTAGTATGAACATCAGTTTGATCTTAAATTTACAAATGTTCTTTAAGTGGTAAGAACTCGCTCCCCCAGCACAAGCTTTGCTTTTAGGGGGAGTTGCAATATGTAACTCATGGTATTTGTGTATATATTTCTTTGTATTATGTATGTGTTGTAGCAATAAAAGTCATTATTATTATTATTATTATTAAAAAGTGGAGGGATGCCATCCCATCGTATCCCCTCCCCAATTCGAACCCTGGTTATGATAGGTCTATTCACTCTAATTTTTAAGGTAACGGAATAAAAAATGAACTGCTGAGCCTAAACTTGCCATGTTACGCGTTTGAAGACTGAGGCAACAAATACGGGTGTTGTGCCCTCTTAAAACTGATGGTCAGAATATTGGTACGGTCCATAGAATTTATAACAAAAGAAATAAAAA